CACACTTTTGTATAGAGATTATCTTGATTTTGCTACTCAAAATTCACGAAAATTTGGCTTTAGAAAAGCTCGCAACTTTCTTTAGAACAATGCATCGCAGATATAGAAGGTATATCTGAAATCAGCTTTTTAAGCTCTATCAATTGGTATAGATCTCCTTCCGAATCGCCACTTCGACTAAGTGAACTTCCCTTGTCAGTTCCACGTGGACCTCGCGAGTGATGGATGGCATGAATCCATGCGAAATGCGATCCTGGGGTCCAGTTTGGAGGCGCATATCTTGGCCGTTAGTGAGTCACCTGCGCTGCCGCTTGGGCTGTGCCTTAGTGAGGGCCCCAAAATTACTTCTCACGTAAAATCCCTATATGCCAGATTTGCCTGGACGCTGCCTTTGAGCCTACAATGAAGAAGTTTTAGGGCAGAAACTTAAGGGCAGTTCTGCGGTCGAGTCGACATCAGGTTTGCTTCCACAGCGAGAACTCCGAGTTCTTCCTTGGCGCTGACGTCATCAAGCATTTAGGTGGCAGACAAAATCCCTTCGCTCCTAAAACAGCTGTGAAACTGCAGAATTCCCCACTTACAAGGGAAGGAAGGTGGGTCGAAGTGGCCTTTCAGAATGAGATGGGTACCATCTTGTAGGGCTTCGAACGCTGATTCCAAATCTGCCTTCCTTATCTGCGGCGCGTTTTTGGGTGAGGAGTTATGAGGGTTTTTAGGGGGCGGAAGTCGATACAAGCACAATCAAAGACAGCACACCGCTGTGTGCAGTCTGGTGTAGTGGTTAGTGTGGTGGTCTTGCAAGCAGAGGCTCCCAGGTTCGAATCTCCTCCTGTGGTTTTCGTTTTGCTGGTCTACAAAAAATTTGTATGAATATGAACAGCGTCCATACACCACCCCCTGTTTCTTTTATCAGAATCTCAAGGCAACAACTGCTCTCTCTGAAGGTGTTTGCAAGTAACTTAAAATGGAGGTAGAAATGTCAAAAGAATCAATTTGTCACGTAACACCCCGGTGAACGTAAGAGGTCACAATGTTCTCAACATGCAAAGACCCACGTTCAGAGTTGGTAAAGCTGAAAAAACGCACGTACAAGTTACGCAATCCAAAACTCATTAACCTACAAGATATTCTCGCCTACCTTGCAGTTAAAAGAAGGAAGAGTTGATGTATAGACGATACGCGTGCTCATACAAGTTTTTTGTAGACCAGACGAAAACCACAGCAGGAGACTCGAACCTGGGAGCCTCTGCTTGCAAGACCATCACACTAACCTCTACACCAGACGGCATACAGCGGTGTCCTGTCCTTGATTGTACTTTGTATCGACTTCCGCCCCTTAAAAACCCTCATAACTCCTCACCCAAAAATGCGCCGCAGATAAGGAAGGCAGATTTGAAATCAGCGTTCGAAGCCCTACAAGATGGTACCCATCTCATTCTGAAAGGCCACTTCGACCCACCTTCCTTCCCTTGTTAGATACAGATTCAGAAGCGATATACATATGAAACCATTTTCAAGCCAAGAAACAGATATGTCGGTCCTTCTGAAGTTACGACCCTCTCGACTAGAGCAACTATTTAGCACTTCTGCCTGTGTATCTGCACAAAAATGTCGGGAGGTAGGAAGAGCTTTGATGCATGTAAACCCTGAGCGGACCTATAATTTTAGCCAGCGGTCAGGCCTGAACTTTTGTTCAAAATTCTTGATACAATTTCAAAGAGTCAAAGGAAAGCAAGCCTTCGTTGAGCCTGCTGGTATATACAGTCATGTCAAATTTTGGATAAATCCATTGACAAGCAAAGGAGTCATGGCATTTTTCGGCTGGACTTAGTGTGTAACTGCTTTCTCGGAATATTATACCAAATATGGTAAATGATATCATATAAGCCGTCAGAGCAGGCCGCGGAGAGTGCGCAGGATGTGTACTGGGAGACGGTCAAAAAACCCAATTTCTCCGACTGTCACTAATTCAAAACTTCAGTCTAGTGCTATGGGAGTTTTCAAATGTTACAGATAAAGTGCAATAGCTTAATATCTGTCTAATGGTACCAGCTGAGTTTGGTGGCTTTGAGTTTTGCTGAGTTTGGTGGCTTTTGCTGGAAAACGGAATGAAATAATTAAGACTTTGTCCTCAACTGTATTTTCACGTGTTTTTCGCCTTCAAAAATGCTGTTCTGAACTGATTTCAAGGTATTAAGGTGGCACAACCCATGCAGATATATATCTAATATATCTCGTTCTAAAATATACTTGCTTCTAGAAAGTTATAACACTTATTATGTGCTATTTGGTGTTCATCTTATACAGGGTGTCCCAAAAAAATGTGCACACTGTTTGATTGTAAATAACTCTTTTGTGGTGAAGTGTTTCGAGAAGCTTTAGATATCATTTTGTAGAGCGAGGTTCAACTTAGATTTGTAGTGTAGAGCGGATCGCCGATCTCTCATTCTTACTGTAGGATTACGCTAGAAACTTTAAAGAGGGTTTTGAGCCATGAAAGGCTATATTTTGTTCCAAAAAGAAAACCAAAAAAACCTGAAAACTCTCACACTGGGCTAACTAGAGTTGCTGATTCTAAATGTAAAGTTCGCAACTCTTCGTAATGCTTCATTAGAAAATTATGCGAGGTAAGCAGTAGCAGACGTTTAAGTGTTCCTAAAAAGTGCGGTTACACCGTTTAGAAAGTTCTCAACCTTGTAAAGAGTTGGGTGAACTCAGAGTCCATAAAAACACTATTACACAAATTTCCACATTTTTGAAATTTTTTGAAACGGCCGCTTTTTTTCACAGTGACACCATATGTTTGAAGTTTCTACCATACTCCCACAGTAAGAATGAGTCTAAGTTGAACCTCGCTCTACAAAATGGTAGCTAAAGCTTCTCGAAACACTTCACTACAAGAGAGTTATTTACAATCAAACAGTTGCACATTTTCTTGGGACACCCTGTATGTAAAGCTGAATGTTTGTATGTATGTAGGTATGTGCGGAATAGAATTTTTATTTCTGAACCGATTTGGACCAAACTCGGCACCCATACACTTCGTGGCAGGGAGCATGTCATAGGGTACTTTTGTTATCGATCGATATCATTTTATCGATTTTTTGCAAAGTTTGAGCTACAGGGCTGGGAGTTGGCATAGGCGCGCAAATGGGCATGGCGATTCCGAATACAATATTAGTTTTCAGAATTATCGGTTACTTTTATCGATTTTACCGGTTTTTCGCAAAGTTTGAGATACAGGGCTGGGAGTTGGCACGGGGGGGGGGGGGGGGTAAGTGGGCATGCTAATTTCGAAAACAACACAGGGAACGGGAAATGAAGTGTAGAAGTGGGCACAGGAAAAGGCTGTACAGGGATAGGAATGGGACCTTTACCACAGTGTTTTGACAGGGCCGAGCGGAGCCAGGTAAGCAAGCTAGTCTGGCAATAAAAATCGCGCCTCTTAACACACACCTTTTTGTACTGCACATCACTCCCTTTCCTCGTGCACTATCGCCGCTTGTTTTCTCTGCACCTCTTCCAGTCATGCACTGCCTTCAATGGCCGCAATCGAGTTGCTCTCCTAGCGCAGCGAGGACGGCCTATATAAAGCAGGCAGTATGGATGTTCTGTGCATTCGCACAGATCAGATCTTAAAATAGAGTTAGTTCTTTGCTGATGTATGCACATGCACATTTCGAAGGATGAGGTCGGCTATGGCGTCCCAGATATGTTTTTCTTGCTGTTTTCTGTTTTGCTTGAAGTCGTTTTTGAGCAAGCATAAAGATAGCATTTTATGTACTTTTTTCTGAATGTAAGAATTTGATCATCGACTTTCTGGAAATTTGCATTTGCGCACATTAGCAGAGAAACCTATTCAAGCGTATGAAATGTACTTCCACAAACCGCATGACCGCAGAGGATCTTGATGACGCCGAATACTTTATGATTGAACTAGCTTGCTTACCCGGCTCAGCCCTGTGAAAACACTGTGATAAAAGTCCCATCTCTATCCCTGCACAGCCTTTCCCTGTGCCCACTTCTACACTTCTTTTCCCGTTCCCTGTGTTGTTTTCGAAATCAGCATACCCACTTACCCTCCTGTGGCAACTCCCAGCCCTGTAGCTCGAACTTTGCAAAAAATCGATAAAATCGATAAAAGTAATGGACGATTTCAAAAACTAATATTGTATTCGTAATCAGCATGCTCGATTACCCCCCCCCCCCACCCCCTGTGCCAGCTCTCAGCCCTGATAAAATCGATAAAAGTAGCGGATAATTTCAAAAACTAATACTGTATTCGTAATCAGCATGCTCGATTGCCCCCACCCCTATGCAAACTCCCAGCCCCGCATGTCAAAATTTACAAAAAAATCGATGAAATCGATAAAAGTAATCGATAATCCTGAAAACTAATATTGTATTCGGAATCCCCATTCTCGATTACCCCCCTGTGCAAACTCCCAGCCCCGTAGGTGAACTCTGCCAAAAAAATCGATAAAAATCGATAAAATCGATATCGATCGATGACGAAAAGTAGCCTATGACACCCCCGGGGCCCAAAGTGTATGTGTGCTAAGTTTGGTCCGGATCGGTTCAGAAATGAAATTTTCTATTCGGAACATACGTACACACATACAGACATATAGACAGACATACAGACAAACAGACATTAAGCTTTATATATAAGTTACAACAAGCGTTTGAAGTTTCCTCAAATATTGTGGCTGTTCAACGCAAGCTCCAAATCTTGTTTGCACCTCGTTGATGATTTTTGAACAAATTTAATTCAATTCATTTTCGGTAGGTATAATACTTCAGTGTATAGAAATTTTTGTTTTTTCCATGTAAATTATATTTTCCGTATTTTTATATGTATTTTTTCCATGTAAATTCATGTGGTCACAACTTATGCTAGTTACAATCCAACTGGAATCCTCCATCCAACTGGAATATCATTGTCGTTGTCACTGTCACTCTTATGCCATTGCCAATGTCCAAATCCAATTTTGCACTGCAGAAACAAATCGAAGTCTGTGAATGTCGAATGATGTGCGATGACGTATCTCCTCATTACTCTCACATGCATTCTACATTACTGTAATGGTAAGATCGCCTTTCCTAGGCTGCTTTTATAGTTGCTCTTACGGTGGCACATAGCCGGAACGCGACGCCAACGATCACTGCGGGCGTCATGCACGCGACCTCGCGGCGTCCGGTGCCTGCCCTTGTGCCGGTACTGTAGATGCAGCCACATAAGGGGTCGTACCTTGTATTAGAAGCATCGTTGCAGCAGGTTGCAGTCTAGAAGATTGTTCGCAGTGGTTCCTAAGAGTGAAGCACTACCATACGCTTTCGCCCGGCAGCAACGAGCCGTATTGTCAAGTGAGAACTTGGCCACTAAACTTGTTCTAAACAAAAACTTGCGGGATTATAGGCGTTATCCACGTATCTGAAGTGTTTAAACGACACAACGCTCGAATGTCGTGGTAATCTTCAGTTTTACACGAACCTTTTTGCTATGAAAAAGCAGTTCCGCGAATTCGGCTGCGTTTCGTATAAATCGCCTTCTGACCTACATCGGTGAGTTTTTTAGGCTGGATTTGCGCTGCTTTCTTTACTTACAATCTGGCATATACATGGCTCCGCCCGGCTTTGTCGATACACTATAGTAAAAGTCACCATTCTGTGTCACTCCGCGTCAATTATAGAAACCCATGAGCTGAAGTACGCGCGCGTACCGAACGCAACGAAAACCAACCGAGCGCGAAAGATGAAACTGTCATCAGAATTTGGCTGCCAGAAAGTCGCTTTGCGTATTTCAACGATTTTCCTTTCCCTCACTGCCCTTTACGTGCCTTGTTCGATAATCATTTGTTTCTTTGTATCAGATATGCTTTCATGTTTTAGATAATACATCGCTTAATTAGAACAAGCCAGGCTTTTTATATTAATTACTGATAGTTTGAGTGATCGAGCAATGGTAGATTGCGAAGAGTCCCGCCCGACACTCCCTTATAATCATTTGTAGTGTTTTCGACGTAATGTCCTTTCAACCACTGCCTTGAAGTATGATGATTGAATAGTATATGTTTGATTGCGGTACACTCCGTATCACATCGAGACAGACTAGACCTCCTATTAGTAGAGTTTGCAAGAAAAACATCAGAAATCTCACCTGTCACAATTCTAGTCCCACGTCAGCTTCCACCGTAGTTTCTGCCGCTTGCGACCGCACGCTTAGCCTAAGCTCATTGGTTCCCACGGCCTATACGGGGTAACGCAAATTTGGGGCAGATCAATCTGAGAATTTTTATCCGGGACTACATACAAGCAAACCCTTAGCGCTTTATTACTACTAGCTGGCATACCCGGCTCCGCCCGAACCTATCAAAACACTATGTGAGGTCACTATCCCTATTCCTGCACAAACCTTTCCCCGTGCCCACTTCTAATTGCCAGTTTCCTATCTCCGTCTTGCTTTCGTAATCAGCACGCCTTTTACTTATTCCCCCTGTCCATCTTCCGACCACAGAGATCAACTTTGCAGAGAAAAGTCGTTAAAATCGATAAAAGTAATCAACAATTCCAAAACTGATGTTGTGTTCGTAATCAGCATGCCCACTTACCCTGCTGCTGTACCAACTCCCAGCCTCGTAGACCATACTATGCAAAAAATCGATAAAAATCGATAATCGGTATCGATCAATGACGAAAAGTATCCTACGACACCTGCCTCGCCCCAAAGTGTTTTGTGCCACGTTTGGTCCGGATCGGTTCAGAAGTGAAAATTTCTATTCGGAACATACAAACAGACAGACATACAGACACACATACAAACAACATTCAGCTTTATATATAAGACTAGCAAGCTTACGGGTCGCTAGCAAGCGGGGGTTGGGGTAAACCATCAATACATGCTGCTTTAAACCTATAATTTTCCCAAATTGATTTCCAATTTATCAGCATACTAGCTGGCTCGCCCTGCTCCGCTCGGTCCTGTCAAAACACTATGATAAAGCTCTCATTCGTGTCCCCGTACAACCTTTCCCTGTGCACACGTCTACATGCCATTTCCCTATTCCCGCTGTTTTATAACCAGCATGCTCGATTACCCCCCCCCCTGTGCCAACTCCCAGCCCCGTAGCTCAAACTTTGCAAAAAATCGATGAAGTCGATAAAAGTAGCGAATATTCCTAGAAACTAATTTTGGGTTCGTAATCAGCATGCTCGATTACCCCCTATGCCAACTCCCAGCCCTGTAAGTCAAACTTTGCGAAAATCGATAAAAATCGATAAAATCGATATCGATCGATGACGAAAAGTAGCCTGTGACACCCGCCCGTGTCCGGAGTGTATGTGTGCCAAGTTTGGTTCGGATGGTTGAAAAATGGAATTTTCTATTCAGAACATACATACAGACATACATACATACAGACATTCAACTTTATGTATAAGATGTATTGCCGCAACCGCTCGAAGCGAGATCTTCGAAGATTTTCTCAAAATTTCACTATGGATAACATCGTCTAATATAGTGCTTTGCTCTAAGTGCACAGTTTCGTTCCACAATGTCATTCTCGCATTCACGCTCACATTTTGGAGACAAAAATCGAATTCAAACAGCAATTGCTCCCAAAAGAGAGATATAGGGCGGAAGGTGGATTGTTTCAGTCTAAAATATTTCTTGCCCGCATCGCTATACAGTTTCCTTTCACAACGTCCTCGCATTCATGCTCACACATTGGAGTGAAAAATCAAACTCAAGCAAACAAAGCAGTTTGCTCAAAAAGAGATTCTCGGAAACTTTTTCGGAATTTGGGCGGGAAAGTGGATCGTGTCGGTCTAAAATAGGTTTTTGCTCCAGGGCACTGTACAGTTTCTTTCTACATTTTCTTATGACATATTAGAGAAAAAAAATCAATTTTAAGCAGTTTCTCTCAAAAGCGAGATTTCCGGAAATTTTTTTCAAAATTTGACAGGGAAGAGGAAAATAGTTCCAAATATTCAGCTGATATAAATGGGAAGAGCTTGAGAAACGAACGAGAGCATGATGAATACACAGATGGGATGTGAGAGGATCAATGATGGCTTCCGCAGGCTTCCATTGCTATCCGTAGTGACGATCACCATCTCGCATATTTCAACCCGCTCAGCACGCGCTGGTATTTCAACACATCTTTTGCAGCAGCAAAGCGCACCGTCAGGGTTGAACAAGAGGTGTGGCACACAACCGCCGGATACAATCCCCCTTTCCTCTCCTAAGTTCTGCCTCATACTCCCCCCCCCCATTTTCGTTTGCCTGCCGTACCCCTGACATAAAGGCTTTACCTAACATAATTAACAACATATTTGTGATTATCATACCAGGTATCCCTGTGGGACAAGTTTTAGCGAATTCTGGGGCTTCCCAATATTGGGCCACCCAAGTGAAGTGGACATATGCAAACATGACCAACTAAATTTCAAAAGCGAGTTAGCTACCTCTTCTTGTACTCAATACAAAGCACTACTCCCTGTTTGCCTATGCCATAGATCCTTCTTCAAATTACCATCAAACCAAAGAATTAGGAGCCAGCTAGAATCTCGTTTGTCCTATTTTTTGCTTGCAGTGATTGCGCTTCCAGCAACTGTTGCTCAATTGAAAGAAAACGAATTCAGCTTTCACTTTTACAAAACCTACAAGTCCTATTCATTTCCTAAGGGGGTGTGGCACAACCCCTAAAAAGCTGTGGCGGCCACAATTTTTTTAGGGGTTGTGCCACACCCCACTAACTTACCTTCAAACCATTCAAAAATCTGCGTTTTTTATATCGTTGCTGTTGCTCAACCTTCTTCTTCACACAGTAGGAAAACCATTTAAAATCATTTCTTTTAGAAAAAGATAAATTCGTTTGCCCTTAATCGGGTTACGGTAGCATGCCTAATCTGCGCTACTATGTAAATCGCAAAAGAAGGCGACAAGGATAAATATTTTTGATATTAAGTTGTCCGGAAGTTAATGCCCGTTTTGAATTTCAACCTCAATAAGTCATACACTTCTTACTTCTAAATAGGTTGCAAAGTACTATTCGATAGAGCAAAGCAAGCTCTACAAGATGGCCATCTTGCTTTTGCAACAGCTCTCATCCATCTCGAGTTTCAAGGCAAAAAGTAAAAAGACTCAGCAGTCCGAAAAATCGAAAAAAATCGCAACTCAGTTCATAAAAATCCTACAAAAATTCTAACTTGCTCACGTAAACACTATCCACATAAGACATCTATATACGCCTTTGCGTATTTTTTCCTCTGTTAGAGATCAAGAAAACGGAAATTTTCGTGCATTTGCCAAAGTGTTGCTGTGCCAACCCCACATAGGTAGTTGTATAGCACAAGCCTGTAGAAGTACAGGCCTAAATTTTCAGCTCTCTACAAGCTTTAGTTCTCGAGAAATACCGAACATAACTTTCCCTAGTTAAGTGCTCCAAGCTAAAATTCAAATTTTTCGAGAACTAAAGCTTGTAGAGAGCTGAAAATTTAGGTCTGTACTTCTACAGGCTTGTGCTATACAACTACCTATGTGGGGTTGGCACAGCATCACTTTGGCAAATGCACGAAAATTTCCGTTTTCTTGATCTCTAACAGAGGAAAAAATACGGCAAAGGCGTAAATAGATGTCTTATGTGGATAGTGTTTACGTGAGCAAGTGAGAATCTTTGTAGAATTTTTATGAACTGAGTTGCGATTTTTTTCGATTTTTCGGACTGCTGAGTCTTTTTACTTTTTGCCTTGAAACTCGAGATGGATGAGAGCTGTTGCAAAAGCAAGATGGCCATCTTGTAGAGCTTGCTTTGCTCTATCGAATGATACTTTGCAACCTATTTAGAAGTAAGAAGTGTATGACTTATTGAGGTTGAAATTCAAAACGGGCATTAATTTCCGGACAACCTAATATCATCATGACTTATAATAACGGGCTAAGGATGTTTACGTGACTTTGTGTGTGTGTTTGTGTGTCTGTTACGAAATTCGTGGAGCGTGTTCCAGCAAACGTCCTGGGCCCAAATTTTGCACAGCACATGCTACCAGCACAAAACTCCACCATGCAAAAGCATGAGCGGATTCGTTGAGTGGATCCCTCAAAAATTGAGCGCCAAACGGGTCCACCCGGCTTCTGTACCGCAAAATACGGTCCGTATCACCTCTTTTTGCAGAGTCGTGGATGAGTTTGGTAAGCAAATGTGCAAGCGATGGAGTTTAGGCAGAAAAGTGGTCGAAAGTTTACTACATAACGAAAACGACGCCAAAACGAATTGATTGTGTAAATGGTCAATTTGCCAAGGTTCTAGCTAAGCGTTTGAGAAAATTTCCGCACAGAGATGTAGCTCACGGTTATCATTACCTTTATGGCGACTACCAAGTCATGACAAATCCAAAAACCTATTCAAATTTGCGTTTGTCTTCCTGCGAAAAGTTTCATCCACGCGAAATCACCGATCTCACGTCAAAAGACTTTCTAAATGAGTGGTTGTTTACGTTTTATTCGTGGTAGTCGGCATAGCGCGGTGAGTTCCAGTGCCACTATTTTACGAGAATGAGTAAGGCACATAGATAGTAGAGCCAGTGCGAACCTCTGCGAAGCAGAGGTGACGCACTGGTAATTTACATAAAAGTGATTTGAGCCTGACTTGTCCTCTCCATGAGATACTGAAAGCGGAAAATGGAACATATGAGATTTTGGCTTTTACGTAATTCCATAGTTTGGAGGTTATTCGAAGTTGGATCACTAATGTGAGCAAAGAAGTAGTAGTTCTTTGTATTAAATGCAGAAAGAAGTAGTTAACTCACCTTTGAAACGAGGGCAAGGCAACATGTTTGAAAATGACTCACTTGGATGGCCCAATATTTGAAAACCTCAGAATTCGCTGAAACCTGGCCTACAGGGGTTATCTCACGATTTAGTTACTAAAATGATGCTCTTATGCTTATAATGCTCTCTTTTTACTTACTGTACGTATATGATGGTGGGTAGAACATCAATGTGCTAGTACTACATACTGCCTATCTGACTTGTTAACGAATATCATGTTATCGCTAACATCAGCTCACCTCGACAACGATCCTCCCTCTCCACGACCCCTCAAAACGACCCCCCCCCCAGGTGTGGCATGCCAAACCCACGCTTGATCCTGCGCACCGCGCGTGTCGTGATCTTTCGTTTAGGCGCTGTTCTGTGCCTGGCGTCTAGTCAAAACAAGCATTCAACTCATACATATGGGCGGACCAATCTAGCCGTCGCGTTTTTTGGGAATGGTTATGTATTATAGGGGAAGATTAGCTCGCAAACCCGACTTTTTATCAATGACACTTTCGTAATCAGCATTCCCGTTTACCTCCCTATGCCAACTCTCAGCCAGGACTTTACAGAAATCGATAAAATTGATATTAATCAAGGTCGAAAAGTTGAATTCGAACCCACCCCGCCTCGAAGTAAAGTTTGGTTCTGATTGGTTTAGAAAAAACAGTTTTTACTTGGAACATACGTACACCCAGACGAACATACATACATACATACATATGTATCAACAAACAGACATTCGGCTTTATTCATGCAGATACAAATTTGAAGCTATATTCTCACGGAAACGCTTATTTAGCTAAATGACGAGTACATGAATCTTCAGTCTCCGGGCATGCTTTACGCAATCTCAGCGCGATGTGGCAGAGCTCCAATCGTTTACAAATAATAGTGAGGATGTGCAAAAGATAGAGCATTTTGTTGATTACGAGGGTCAAACCTACGCATTTGTAGCCTGCGAGTGTAGCAATTGAAAACATCGAGCAAACTGCCAGATCGTGTTGGGATGAAATCGTATAAAGTATGCCCGGGCATTATAGAGCTTTGATTTTGCCCTTCAAAACAAATTTATTAGCCAAAAATTTATCTCGCATATATATATGAGAGTGTTTCTCGCATTTTCTACTATACAACAATATACGGTGTAAAACTTCTGCACTTATCTTTATATATCATCCAGGTGTAACTACCTGCCAAAACCGCCACGATCGAAAATGCGAATGTGTTCTTTATTTGGCGATCCACATTTACAAAGGTTTGATGGGATAATGCAGTCCTGCATTGAGGAAGGAGCTCGACCACTCGTCGAAAACCGGTAGAATTTCAAAGTATATTTGTTTTCACAAGATTGAAAGTCACACTTTCCTTAGGCATTTCCTAGTGCAAGTGACAAATGCTAACATTCATAATGAGCCATACACCACAGCTGTAAATAAGGTGATATTCTTGAACAGGACAGATGAAATTGAACTTTATGTCAAAAATAAATCCAATTTAGATTACTGTGCTAATTCGCAAGCACAATTGCACTCGTTCCCTCCATTACGAAGCTGCTTCGGAAGAGGAGACTCTTCCAGTATCATTTGTTGACGGAGTGAAAAATCATAAGACCGACGACGGTCGAGTTAGCGTTGAGGTTTGATTTTGAAGGTCACAATCAACCTTTTTTGCTAAAGGACTCGAATAGAGGATGAATAGAACAGTTCAAGAGGACTTGAGCAGACGATGAATAGAACAGTTATAGATTATAAGTCGAGGGGATTATGTGGAGATTGCCATGCATCACATCCACTCTAGTGTACATATACGTAGGAGAGGTCCTTACCTGAGTGTTTCTGTGATGGTCCCCGAAAATCTTCAGGTGAACTTCTTGCGTCGCTTTTGTCAGGACTAACATTTTAGCTTGTTTCAGCGTGGACCCGCATTATTCGACACATTGTGCACCTCCGGATGCCGAAATCAGTCAATAATCTCTATCGATAAAGCTCTAGCATCTCCTAATCAGTATGCGAAGTGTTACGCACGAAGACTGCACGTGCCAATAAAGCTCGCTACTGGTCAGATTACCGTACGGCATAAACGATATGCACAACATATAAACTTCAGATCGATGTCGAACTGTGAATGTAACAGATCAGTACATTGACGCTTGCATATTCGATCTCATGCTCACAGGTGCGTCATATAGTTAATCTTAACATAAAATTTATTTATTTTATTTATTTCAATGCACTCAAAGGTGCGCCATAAAAATAACAGGAAATGCAAATAGAGTTGTTTAACCGGCCACACACAAAGTAGATAAAATAGCAGAAGGCCTAGACGTATGTATGTATGTATATATGTATGTATGTGTGCATGAAGTAATTTCACCTCACATGCATAGATTCAATGCTCCTCAAACTCTCCGGATGATTTCACGGATAAGCAGAAATAGAGGGTGTGTGGTCGGCCAGTGGTCCAATGGTTAGTAACAAAAAAACCAAAAGAAAAAAAACTCATAGACTAATCCAATGTTAGTACTGCCATCATCAAAAAAAATATAACGCTCAGTCATAAGTGTCGTGTTTGAAGGCGACAGACGAGCAAAACGCAGTGATTTCTAGAAAAGAAACGAAAAAGCAAAAACGTTTCAGTAGTTATGAAAATTCTTAACTTGCAACAGATCGACTTGCGCTATTCTACTTTTGAAGGTAGCTGAATTTCCAGATAACAGTGCAGTATTTGGCAATCTATCGAGCCACCTAGGTGTTCTGTAAAATAGAGTATTGAAAGTTCGTAGAAAACGTTTCCTGTAAATACATGGATAGTGTATATTGAACCCACCCATCCTATTACTAGGCCTGAAAATCCAGTACTTACTTGCGGTAAGTCTGATTTCTTTACGAAAAAGACGAAAAGCGAAAATGAGGTCTAGATATGTCCTTCTAAATTCCAAGCTTTTCATTGCCAAGGACTTGAGGCGGTCTTGATAAGTGGGCATTTCATCAAAATCTAATGTTCTGCGACATCTTAGGAATAGAATGCGAGTAAATGTTTTTTGGACTTTTTCCAGTTTTAGGATGTCTTTCTTTGCAAAAGGATTCCATATAACTGAACAGTATTCGAGGTGCGGAAGTACGTACGCTGTGTAAAGACGTTTCAGTAGTACGGGATTTTCAGTATGAACAGATCGGAGAATTTTAAATAAAACTGAGTACGCACTGTTTACCACATTATCAATGTGATGCGAAAACTTCAAATCACCATCTATCAAGACCCCCAAGTCCTTAGCAGTGGAGCAATTTCTCAAGACAGTCCCCTTTATCTCATATGCAGAATTTGGATCATCACCTAAATGCATCACAAAATATTTATTCAGGTTGACTGGGATGCCAAAGCATGATGCCCAGTCTACCAATCTTTTCAAAGATTCTTTTATTGCAGACTGAACCTCACCGCGATTTATCCCGCTGTATCTCCCGTATATCTTGATATCATCCGCATACATCTGGATTGTTATATGCTCTGATGTTTTCAAGATCAACGGGAGATCGGCAGTATAAATTAGAAAAAGTAACGGAGAAAGGACCGCGCCTTGCGGAACCCCACTAACACAGGCCTGTCTATCCGAAAACTGATGCTCTACCTTCACAGTCATCCCTCTGTTACTCAGATATGTCTTAAACCAATCTAATAAATTACCATTGATCCCAATTCGTTCGAGCTTGCATAAAAGCTTTTCATGATCAACACGATCAAATGCTTTCGAAAGATCCACGTAAACAACATCTACTGATTCCCCTCTATTCAGCGCCAGAGTCCAGTCAAAAACTGAGTCGGCAAGGTTCGTAGCAGTGGAAGATCCTGGCATGAACCCATGCTGATTAGGGGGGACAGTTTTGGATTTTTCAAGCCACGCTAGTAGTTTATCCCGCAGTCCTTTCTCCATAACTTTCACAGCTGTGGGAGTCAAACTGATGGGGCGGAAATCCGTGAGACTGGAAGCATTAGGAACCTTAGGAATTGCAGTCACCAATGCTTCCTTCCATATCTGCGGAACTTCGCCTAACATCATTGATATATTGAATATATGAGCAAGTGGGACGCAAAGAGATGAAGCACATTTTCTAAAAACAATCTGGGGTATTCCATCATACGCCTCAGTAAATGAAGGTCTAAGCTTGGTCAGAAACTTCATGACCTCATAGGAGGTAAAGTAAACGCTCGAAAGACAATGGCGATAAGCGGGGATAGATGAGAAGAAATCAATCTCAGTGCCTCCAGAACTCGAGCTAAATACACTGGCAAAGTGAGATGCTAGAGCATTAGCTTTCTCGCTGTCCGTGACATACACTTGGCCCATTTGACCAGCTATGGACGGCAGACGACGGCTACGTTTGATTTTGCTATTGATATATTGAAAAAGAAATCTGGATGAAGATTTTGCAGCTAACTTATGCTCATAATTGCTCAAGAATTTTTTGAGATAAAAATCAACATTTTGGCATACTCTTTTGTACATGGGATTAGATAGCGGGTCTCTCAATGAACTAAAGATTCGTTCCTTTTGCGCAAGAAGATTTTGGATGTGCTTGGGGTATCTCATTTGAGCCTGGATATCATACTTGAAAGGCACAAAGGTAGACAAGGCATCATAGAGCACCAAGCAAAATCTGTAATACACGTCGTCAGCCGACTCATACTGATCAAAAACATTCAACCAGTTGACCGCGGAAAGGTGGGCATTAAGAGAGGCAAAATCAACCCTCCGAAAATCAGGTGTAGGCAAAGGAAATGTAAAGGGAATATCTCTCATCACCGAAAAATGAACCACTTTATGGTCTGAAGTTGCGAGAGGAGGAGTAGTGTGAACGTCAGAGATGATAGGGCTGGTAGAAAACACAAGATCCAGAATATGCGATTGATGGGTTTGCTCCGTAACATATTGCGTCAAGTTCGAGTTCGAGAAAAAATCAAAAAACTTTGACGAAGTTTGATTCAGAGGTAATGTTCTGGTCCAGTCGATCTGTAAATTGAAATCGCCCAAAACAATAGTATTCTCATACTCATTGATTCGATGGCACATCAGTTCGATAAGGTGGTCATCGCTAGTAAGCGTACTATTAGGAGGCCGGTAAACTGCTAGAAAACGCAACAATGTAGGCTTATCAGGGCACAAAATATCAATGCCAAGAATGTTTGACATAGTGCTGCTGTCAGAGAAGGTTGATTCAATCAAAAGATTGCTCTTCGATAGGCAGCAGATTCCGCCACCCCTACGATTATGTCGGTCTGATCGTGAAACGAGGTACGGTAATTTTCCTACGATTTCACTATCATTGACTTTACACGTTAACCAGCTTTCCGTAACAAAAAGAATGTCAGGTTTATATAAAGTTAAAAATGCCTGTAAATGATGGAATTTCTTTAACAGACTTCTTGCATTCAAAAGACAAACATCAATTCTAGCTAGAGCCCCATGCGGAACTACGCGTTTTCCGACCTTGTCCTGTTCAGTTCAGATGTGCGCACTAACTGGCCTCTATAAACCACCCATTCTCGGATAGGTTTATTTTTGTTCCTCTCGCGGGCCACCTTTTTAGTTCATACTCACGCTTCCGCTCGTCCTCCGTCATGCTCTTCCGTATATACACGTTTGGAAGAGCATGACGGAGGAATCGAGCGTTAGCTAGCGCCTTCCTCCAGTAAAAACTGGAGGGCATTACTACCTTTATAAGGCGCTGGTGTGAGTCGCTTTTCCTTCCCATCCAGAAAACCTCCGAAGGGGTGCAATTAACGTCTACAGCGTCGAGTATACCCGCAACTTTATCTTGGAGGTACGCCCGACGCCGAGACGGTTCCAACCCCTCCGGAGGTTCTTCCACCCCGCTTATCACTAAGCTACGGGAGCGTTTCTCCGCTTCCAGCGTTTCGGCCAGCCCTTTAGCTAGTTTTTCAGACAATGCACACAGCATTTTCTGAATAGTGGGATCCCTGTTTAGCGCAGAGATCGACGCAATCAGATCTTGCACTGACATCCTACTATAATCCTCTCCCTGCGTCCCGCTATCATTGCTGATCTCACTCTCTTGTGCAGGTGTTGGAATTTGCGATGACCTCTTCGATACCTGGACCTTTTGTGAACGTGCACGAGGAGGCATCGTATGATCTACCGTATTCAATAACTGATAGGGCACAATTCACGAGGATAATCTAACCTAGCTGAGGGTGAAATCAGCAACGAGAATACAACAACAAATCCAAGACCACAGTGGAGGAGCGGTCGATAGGAATAAGCTATTGGGAAGGATAAGAAGGAAGGTGGTAAAAACTAACACGAGAAAAACAACAAATAATCAGAGCAATAATAAATGCCGCCGCACGTTACCACGACAGATCGATGACGTGACACAAATCACACAGACAATCTATCAACAATCTCGATTGCCTTAAACATAACGACAAAAAGAAGTGTTAACTTTATGCAGACATACTACAAGAGTTATAAAATGTTTGTTCAAAGAGTAACATAGCGAACTCAAACCAGCTTCTAACTACTTGGCGCCCTTTTCAATGGCTAACAAGAGCTGAGTCCGAAAGCCAATGAAACAAGAATCGCACGTCCAAGAACGTTTGTAGCGTGCCCCATCCATGACTCGCGTGTCTGCCGCGGAAATCAAAAGTATTTGGCGGTATGAACGAGAGCGCGCGCAGGCAGGGTGCATCAATAAAAACGTAACTTTAGCCTTGCTTATCGCTGAGTGGACCAATTGTCTGCACTACAACTTTGGTTCACATTTTCACCAGTACACTGCAAGCAGCTCTTGATAGTAAGCTTTGAGCTTGTTCCAGGCTGGAGAGAAGCATAATTTTTGATCTTTGTTTTGTTTTCTTATTTATTTTGCCAACTCATATATTACTGATGTGTTGACCGTTATAATTCGAGTTTTGCTAAACTTCCTGGATAACCAGTGTCTCCGTAGATGTCCAAGTTTGGAGTGTAAAGGACATACTAAAAGGCACCCACTACCCAAGGCATGTCGAGTGAACGTCGAGTGACCTCACATCTCTCGACACCTGTCTTTATTGAGGCTTTGCAGAAGCGTTATCTTGCTGAAGTAAACTTTTTAAAATATGTTGTAAGTGAAGCTATTCTTAGTCTTTCTCATGATTTCGGACTATCACTGAGTGTT